AGAATATTTCACAAAATTAATTGATACTTTCATATATATATCTTAGGCAAATTCGTCAAAAGAAATCCTAAAATACTTTCCGTAACATATTCTAAACTGGATCTTTCAGAGGCTATTAACTCCTACTTGTGGGAGAGGCCACGGGATAACAGAGATGTCTAGGCGAGATAGACCGCCTGACACGTGATAAGTTGTCGGCTTGAAGGAAAGACTGGTACGCTTATCCTAATATTCTTGATACCGGAAGTGTACGGTAATAATAAAGGGTGACCTTCATTAGGGTGATCTACTGTTATGTATTAAGGCGTACTCATCTTTATTTTTTTTTGGTAGTTTCATCTGATTAAAGGGGCAAAACTATATAAATAGTATATATATAAAACCTTTAAACAACTCCCAGCTACGTACCGAGTATCTTAGCTCGGCCCGTCCCCTTCCGTTAGTCACGGCCTGGACGGTCCTCATGGCCCGTATCTGTTTACGTCGCTTAGCAGGGTGTTCAATCACCTTCATATTTACTTCTCTCCGTCTGGCATATACATAATGCCAGATATCACCTGCACCCTCTACTTGACACATGACTAACAGACTAGTCCGATAATATTGTACAATACTCGCATAAGTTTTGTCCCACGAAAGGAAGCCTGTGTGGCGTAATGGTTAGCGCATTTGACTTCTAATCAAAAGATTCCGGGTTCGAGTCCCGGCATGGGTTCTGATTTCTTTTTTTTTGTAATTTAAGTGAGATGAAATGGTCCATGTTCTTTTTTATAAACTCACAAGGTATGTCCGTATATTATTCACGCTCTATGAAGTATCGACGACACTTCTCCAGGTATCCCATGGGCAAGCCAAATACTGGATTAACTGGAAGAGTGTATGTTGCACCCTCCACGTTGTCTTCCACTCTAAAATGATACCCATCCGGTATTTCACACTCATAAATATGCTCAGCTATGCTTAGTCCACAAAGTGTGTAGTTGGTGTGATAAAAGTCTGGTCTTTTTCCTGGTTTGTCACGCAAACCGCCGATAATCGAATCTTGGCAACAGTTGAGGATGTATGACTTCAATGCGTGCCGATTGAATAGCAGCACGCTAGATGTGAATGATTCAAGCATGACAAAGCAGGCTCCAATCCAAAAACTATAGCATGCGTCTACCAACTTATTAGATCGACCGGAAAATCCCCCCTCTAGAGTTTTCTGACGAGCTGCTAGCCAACGGATCAAAGTGGCAAGATTGGTATAATGTAGGCCATTTTTTGGCAAAAGATAAAGAGAAGCAATCGCACAGAAAGTGTAACCACCGTGAGCTTCGGCCCCAGGAACACCAGAGAACCCACCTTCATAAGTCTGACACAGTAAAATCCAATCTTGTGTATTTTTCATAAGCGAGGGCGTTGCAATACCAAGGAGAGATGTAACCACAAGTACACAATATGTGGATCTAGTATCCTTCTCGCCACCGTAGTGCATTGCAAATGAGCCATTCTCATCCTTCAATGTAGTAAACCATTTTTGAAGATTAGGGGCGATCTCAGATAGAAGGGTATAATCGTCAACAAGAGCAAGAGCCAAAACTGCTGCGTATGTGGATGCTACATGTCCAATGAGATCGTTTGGGCCGCCGGAAATACCACCCAATCCGTTATCAATGATTAAAGTGGAGATTTTTTCAGACACTCTTTTTTTCAAGGAGAGACTCGGGGAGTCACCGCTCAACATAACGTGTGCATTCACAAGCCAATAGATCATCCAGGAATGATTCGAGTCTAGCACATAGAACATCGAAGGCAAGGGGGTGTTCAAGACCGTTTCAATATACTTGAGATGTAATTCAGTATCAAGATTGGTATCATGTATATCTTCAGTCCCACTTGAGACAAACAACTCTTCGTAGATCTCTCGGATTGTGCGTTCAACATCAGCTTGAGCAGCGCTGGTATCGCATAAATATGTATCCTCTGCGAGAGGACGAACGCAAAGCATCGTTTTCAAATGAGATGATATATCGGGCCGAAGAAGACTTTCAAAGCTCGAGGTGGAGGAGCTTCTTTTTTGACCGAGCATTTTCACGAGGAATCGAAGCTTCTTTATATCTGTTTCCATGTGGTTTGAAGATAATCCCCGATTCGCACCGCACAATAGCGCGAGAAATGGCATACAGGTGTCAACTGTGCGAGATGCCAAATTCATTTTCGTAATTTTGAAATTTAGTAAAGACAATTTGCTTGGAGCTCTGCTAAATAATCCCTGAACTACGACAAAATTATTGCAAGAGCGATATAACAGAATGCTCTTCAGTGTAATCAAACTAGGGCCAACTACTGTATGATATGCGTCATGGTGAGTAGTCTTCTGACTTTAATTTTCATTCCGCATAAGTCAAGAGTGAATATTTCTGTAATTGAAAGCTAGCCTCGTTTTTGTGCATTCTATACATATACGGTCACACAAGAATCAGTGCATAATATAAATTATGTGCACTTGACTGACTTACTCAATCAAGTTGTTGACTATATAATTCAAGATGCTTTCATAACAAAAAATAAATTGATCCAAATTTTGTACCATAGAGATTCTTTGTTGTCTTTGGAATTGAATGGACTTGTAAACCAAGTCATCATTGCCCCATGGATCGTAGTGTATCTCGTTATGATTTGGATTTTTAAAGCTATCCACTACCATGTCCATAGTAATGTAGCAACCCGTACGCCCGCATCCCGCGGAGCAATGAACCAAAACATCCCAGGTTTCAGTTGTTTCATCCAAAAACGATCCTGAATCATAATGAAGAGCCAATTTCTCATCTTTAGTTCTCATCAATTCAAAAACCGTACTCAATTCTTCAGGGGTTCCAAAGTCAGGCCATTTTTGGTAAGCAAAATGGTGCACAGTTTGGGATTTTCCATTCTTTGTGAGAACGATTTCTCTCAAAGTAAAGCTACTATACTGCTCACTGCTCTTGATTCGGATATCGAGCTGGCTTTTTTCCAAAAATTGGTCTAGCTCGTAGTATGCCTGTTGCCCAAAAACAGGTGAACCCGCGAGACAAACAATAGCCTTCACGCCCTTGTACCAGACCGTGCTCCAGAAGTCATCTTTGGTAGCATCCAAGGGATTTTGTGTAGCAATATACCCCCGGTCGGATATCTTTTTGTAAGAGATATAGTTAGCATTAAAATAGTCATCAGAGCTGTCTTTCTTGTGCGTGCACGAGGGCGACGAGATTAAATGCACCCTGGAATGCTCATACGGCCAAATATTATTATATCTGTTCTTGTAGCCATACTCCACGCCTTGTGGAATTGTGTACTCGATTTTGTCGCAACAAGGGCATAGTGTCAGTGGTGTTCCGTAGCCTGCACTATCATGAAGATTCTGGTCCCACAGACGGCAGAGTTCCGAGTTTTTATCCATATTGGAAATAGCCATACGCAATCGAACTTGCTCGGCCTTCTCAAGTCGATTGAACATACCATTGAATCTCTCCACAATCAAGCGCATGCTATCTTTCTTGCCGTATACATCTGCAAAGAAAGACAACCACCCAGGAAGCCGCGATTTCTTTTGTTCGAAGTTCTCCGGGAATTGGAAATTATAATTGTAAGTCGTAACCGTGTCTAATTTTAAATTAGATTTTTTGATCGACATAAGAAGCTTGTTATCGGAGCTGGTTGCCGAAGGCAAGCTGAATCCCGTTAGAAAGGGTGTACCAGCTGATGATGGGTTATTAATTCCGGCTGGTGGAGAGCTGTTGTCACTGGAACTGGAATGAAAACGTGAAACACCAGAAATAGGCGAATCCAAGGGCAGCATCAGAGACGAGCTCTCGGTGAGTGAAGGATCAATTTTGTCAAGACCGCCTCTCACATACGACAAGTCGAATCTTTCGTGTGGAAGAAACTTGAGCATTGTCTGGTGCAATTGAAACGACAACTGGGAGTCGACGCTTGCAGAATCATACAAGAGCACTTTCATGTTCTTGGAGCTGTCCAAAACTGCCTCCTTCAAATCTGTTGGCAAGTTGCTCGCGCTGATCATATGTTGCAAGTCGTATCTAGGTCTTTTGAGAAGTGTTGTGGGCACACATATGTTGACGGCAGACTTGAGATGTGATTGTGAATATAGATTGAATGGCCGCACATCTAGCACGAGTGTCACGGACGAAGCTTCAAGAAATTTTGAGATTGCTTCTGAGTTTTGTGCATCGATAGCAGTGATTGAGTGCGGTAATCCTTCCGAATGAAACCTAGACGTAGGAGACATATTTGGAGATTTGTACGGTCTTGGCTGGAGCCCAGCAAGATCGGAAAATGCTGACATATTTAGAGATAGATTTTGCTTGTGTGGGCCGGATGCTGCCCGCTTCATGTGATTGTTGACTAGCACTGGTGAGGATGAGTCGATCATGTCGTGTTTGTTTGGTCTTTGTGCGTTAACCTTGTGAATCGCACTCCAGTGTCATAGAACTGGTGCCAAGAGGGATGAAGATGCTAGTAGAATTATGCGAGGCACAAGAATAGTGTGCAAAATGACTTCCAGGGGAAAGAGTGGACCCAGTACCTTGTGGAGATGTGTTTATTTTCCTCTGTTTGATAGGATTTGAATCGAGACTGGTTTATCTCCTTAGTTGGGCGCACTTTCCTTTTGATGGTCTTCGAGCTGTGGAGAGGAGTGACCTAAGATGTACTTGTGAAAAGAGAAAGGGATCTCGGAAGAGGTGTATCTGAGATTAGCGATGAATTAAGATTTTTCGGAAAAATTATAGTGCCCAGAAACGAGAAGAAACTGGAGGTATATATTCTGGTGGAGCGATGCATGATCTTTCGTAATGATGCATATCGCCACCGGCATGGTAGACGTTCATGGAGAATCTGAAGTCACCCATCCGCGCCCAGTTGTGCACGCAGAACTGCATATAATGATAGAGAATGTTGGACTGGTGATAGAGTGACCTAGAGCGCGGGCAAGCCTCTTTCGTAGCTTCGTGTGGGAAAAATATTTGACAAAGACAGTTGGTATAATCTCGATCCAAAAATTCGGATATAGCTTCCAGTCTGCGGCTGTTATGTGTCGCTTCCTCATGTTTGTGGCTCGCACTATTTATTCACACGGAAGCTTATTGGGTTCACTAGCTACGTCATACTGTTTCCACGCGTTAGAGCCCGGGTGTCGCCCAGTCTAGAAGCCAGGGACCAAGTTAAGAATGCATATTGTTACCCCACGCGTGCATTATACAGTCGCATTTGTTTTAAGTCGATACCCAGCCAGAATTGAACTTCCCTAAAATAGCTTCCAAGCAAGAAAAGGTGATGTTGTCTTTTTCAACAGAAATGCGGGATTACTCGGTAAACATCGCCTGCTTAGGCGGACATCGCGTGCGTAGGAATTTCGGCAGCTGGCGCGGCTTGCGCTTTTGCTCAACCGCCAAGTGACGTCAGACCAACCACACATACCAGGACGAACGCTTCAGCAATATAAGACGCATCATTTCAGAATTAGTGTCTCTTGGTTTGCTTACTGATCGCCGGATTGATTCGAAGATAATTTGGCGTTGGCTTGCTGTACTAGCCAGCAAACGTCTCTCTCTCCTTTGTGGTGGCTGTGCTCACCATGCATTGGGGTTAATTTTTATAGACCACGCCTAGACTTGAGACATATTCAATGACATTAACATGGCTTGTTCTTAAGCGGGACAGTCGTGATGTTCGTATTACCGAAAAGCGCTATTTTTAAACTTTAGTCTGGAATTCACATTCAATCCAATAATAATATTGAATATAATTCAATTTTCACTGGTCGTGTGCTGTGAAGCGTTTAAGCAGCCACAGAATTTGGGGCCGCTGTAGATCTAAGCTATTTTTAATTCCCGATTTCTCGGAAGCAAGAACAGCAGATGCGTGCATCAAAGATGTAGACAGCAGAGTAGTTCATATATACTCAAGAGCTAGTTCCTGATATAATTTTAGAAATCATATTAGCTTGAAAAACAAATATGAAGTTGTCACGAGCATTTCCGAGGTGACGAGAACTTGTCACACTTTTTGCTTATATTTTGGGCTCTGATATCTCAAACAATACTGATATTCGCGACGATTTGTTCCGGTCCAAAAGCGAGCTCATGGTACCACTTTTGCTTCAAAAATATAGTATTCAGTCGTTCCATCGGCATTGTATTCATCATTCTCCCAAGATGAGAAATAAGCGTCCTGGGCGTACTACAGAATAGCATGATATATTGGATTAGGTTCACCGCGAAATCAAATCGAGTTTAGGTGCAATATCTTGCTATCCTCAATACGTACGATGAGAATGTACAGAACTCTTCAAGACTTTCTCAGAGTGGTCTCAAATAAGGTTCCCACAATCGTCTTGACTCGACTTGTTTCCTAAGCCTGATCGTGAATAACGTGGCGAGGAAGTATGCCCGAAGGCGCTTTTTCCCAGAGCAACGATTGGTTTGGAATCCCGGAACTTCTTTGAGCAAGTCTATTGTTGTGTGGTCCGCCAGTCCAAAGAGAATTTCCTCAGTAGAGTCTTCGATCGAATCTCGCCAAGGCAATTCCAGGTGGTCGCAGTAATACTTAGCCACACTCATGCTTGCTGAGAGCTTACTCTCGAGTATTTTTACTCGCTGATCATGTATAGAATTCAAAAGATGAGCCCGCTCAGCGATTTCCCTAACTCGAAGCCGGAGCTGCGTGTTTTCCCTCTTGGTTTCTTCAAGAAGAGCCTCCAAACTTGAATGAGCTGGAGCCTGGATTTGTTCTTTGTTTTGATTTATGAAACGTGGAGAAGGATCTTCTCTGTTACTAGTATGCTGTACTTTGCTTTTTTCTGCAAAGTCCAAAAGTGTTTGGCGATGGTTTATTTCCTGGATCTTCCGTTGTTGTTCTGACGACTCCAACATTGCTCTCATCTTAGAATGAGATTCTTGCAACTCTTGGTTATCCATCTCTAATTTTTGGATTTTTGTCTCGAGGCCCTCGATACAGTCAGTTTGGTGCTCGATCTTGGAGACGAGAAATTGCTTTGCCTCTCCTGGTTTCCATCTGTCTGGATTCTGGGGCTTGTCTAAGTGAGATGAGCTTTCAGAAGACTTTGCAACACTTTGAGACTGCTCAATTATTGGACTCTTCTCCTGTTTTCGAATCTCTTGAACGTTTCTGCGAAAGTCATCGAAGTAATTACCGTCAGTTTCCGAAGAGTTTTCAAAGACAACATGTCTTCCAAACCGATAGCGATTTGTATTATGTGGCTGACCTTTATCTCGAGTAATTTTTATTATTGCTGCTTCTGATCTAGATGTGTCCAGCCTGTGGCGATTCAACGGATTCCTTCTTGGAATGATAGTTTCACCTACTTCTCCTCCAGCATGATTCTTCTCATATAAATCGGCATTCTCCTTACCCATGAGCTGATTTGTACAACCTGAAACTCGAGACGGGGCAACACCTCGAAGCCCGGTAAGTTTTCCCCTTAGCGACTGTAGAGATTTTTCGAGAGATTCATTCTGACGCCGTGCCAGCACCAACGTGCTGTCCGCCATTCGTGGGTTTCTTTAAATGGTGTGGGCAAAATGACCAGATGTATATCTTGTAACTAGATACAGAATAATAGAATTAATCAGGACACGCAAGAATCGTGTTTTCACTGGCTATTGTTTGAGATCTAACAGACTTGATTTGCCGCATACATACAGTTCGTCTGTATTCATGAGACGCGTTTTCCTGCCACTAAGCACTGGTTTCCTGAACGGCATACATCCTTAATATTTTGCCCCAGTGTCGGATCATACCCTGTGTTTTTTTTTTTGCGTTTCTCATTTTGGCTGGAAAACAACATAAGCTGAAAACGCTCATTCTATCAGTCAATAACAGCACATAAACCTCTCAACAAACCGGTAATTTTTGATCAACCCAGCAAGAAATAGACAATCACAAAGCTACCGGACCCAAGAAATGGCGAGAAAAAGAATAATAAGAAAACAACCTCTTTTGGAGAAGATCCGCTCGTATCCATTAGATTTGCTTCTCTCCATCCATGAGCAGCGACTTTCCATTGATTGGGATGACCACGTGCCAAAGTGTTTACCCGTGGGATCTGCCTTGACATTCATTTTCCTTCTTTTGTGTAAAGCCAGGGAATACTACATCTCTGTCAAGGATAAAAGAGATAACCAGTTGTTTAGCTCCGACTACTCTACATATCAGCAAGTCGTCTCGCGGGCTGTAAACGGAAACGGGATCCATACAGCCCCCGTTGCAGTTCCAAAGTTTCAAAACGAATCTCTCGCACAGACGCTTCTCTGGATAGTCAATGGTGCTATGATCATTCTATTCATAATCTCTGCTCTTAATTCTGCGAATGTCTACCTACTCCCTTACAGAAACTACACGCTTTTTGGCCGGGCTACGAACACAATAAGACCAAACGCATCACGTGTATCAAAACAAAATATATCGAGCACCACACCACGTGGTTTGCTTCAGCACTTGTATTCATATTTTGAAGAAAAGTCGGTATACGAAACAGACAGTGACTCGGAAGCTGACACAACCTACGAGCCACGCTTCGTCGAAAAAGAGGTCTGGATGATGTCAGTATGGGACCCGTCCCATTTTCTGTTGTATACAGCCGCATCTTTCTCTCCTATCGTACTTCTAGCAGTTTGGCTCGTTAGCTCCCTGGTCTCCATATTCAAAATTGGTGTATTGGTCGCACTTTTCAACTCTTTTTCCGTTTATCTCACCTCAAAATTCCTACAGTTGATCTCAGATAAGCATATCATACACCAGGAAACATTCAATGAATATAACAAGAAATACGTGATTCCGAAGACGTCTATTTTGCGCAAAAATGCAATTGTTGATGCCACTCATGGGCCGTACGCCCCAGCAAGTAAAACCGTGCATGATGATCCAGTAGGGCATCTACAGAACGACCTTGCGTTTGTCACTCACGACATCAACGGAATTAGGCATAAGAGTGTCAGAGCAGATAACCTTGACGCCGTTATCTCTCGTTCTGTGTCGCCTGCAAAACATTTGACACAAAATAGTGGTATTCTCCCCCCAGGATCCTCGTTCGGAAGTCGATACGACACATCCTTGCGAAGTATTAATGGCAGGTCGAGCTTTTACGATGACACAGAAAATAGACATAGCATGGTATTGCTGTCCACTCCATTCAGACTGAGAAATCAAGGAAACGAGCTGTTCCTCCACAGGTCTGACACGTTTTCAAGAGCAAACGATACGTTTTCCAAGGGATATGACTCCATCTCGCGAAATTCTTCGCGAGCACATTCGCCTTTTAAATCGCCCTCCAGGTTGAACTACAACCCAAACATTTCTTATAGTGAGCGGACGCAGCTCTCTCCCGACAGGTCGAGTAGACATCTGTCCCCACAACGCAGTCCGTCGCCATCTAAGCGCGTATGGCATTAATTTTCTTCTAATATACACCCCTTCAAGACTCTTTCTCCGTACTCAAACCTAGAGGTCATGGAACCCAAAGAAGTACTTGGTTACAGAGGCTAAGAGCCCCAACTTCTCTCCTTTTCCTTTCTCGTCCAGACCCTCGCTTTGTGCGCCTGTTCCATTGGCCTTCAAGAATAAACCAGTTCCGTCCTTCACATCCAAACGCTTGATATACGATGCCTGCAGGTCATTCGTGTCACCAGCCACACCCTTGTCTACTTCATTTGATATATTGCGCGTGAGCAGCTGAAATCCACCCCCGATATCTTCCAGTGGGCTCAATTTTCGCTTTTGAAGTTTCTCGATGGCGTCCTTTGTGTATGGAACCACGCCAATGAGCACACCATTGAAAACACTGCCCGATTCTTTCAAAGCATCTTGCGCAGATGCAGGGTTGTCGAAGGTAAGCTTCACCCATGAATTACCACTGAAAAGAGGAAGACCAGAGGAGGAAGATGATGTCTGAGTACCGGCGCTTTGTCCATTCTGGCTTTGAGATATTCCAGTTGCAGTGAACGACAGTAATATGTTAGCATTTTCGTTTCTCCGGTTCTTCAGAGCTTCAAAATGCTCTAGAATTGTGCCGAAGTCCGAGAAATACCCAATTATCTGCGACGTCATAGCCTCGGGATATCCAAACACCAATATTGCTGATTCGCTGATCAGCAAGGGGCTCAATTTAGCTGCCGGATCCTCCTCGGGCGTACTGGAAACATCACTCTTCTGGTGGAATGCGTTCACGAAAGTTTTTGGATCTTTATTAATGAAGGACTCCGTGTGTTGTTGTGGTTTGTTGAGGGAGATGACTACTTCGTCATTGAGATCGTAGAGTGATTTTGCAGGAGGAAGATCTTCGTTCTCGTTGTACAACGGGATATCGTCGGTATCAAAACTCTGGGAGATATCATGACCATCTGCAGTAAGAAAAAGAGACAGCGAGTCACCATGGCCTGCACTGCTAGTTCTATGCGCAGTGTTACCAAAAGAAATCAAATTGAAATCTGTAGAGTTAAATGCGTTGTTGTTTGAGGAGGCTCCATTCGTAGCGCTTTGTTTGGAGTCTTTTTTGTTAGTGCTGGTGCCGCTCAATTGAAATGCGAGTCGCTTCCTAGGGACAAGATGATTTGGAATCACTCTTCGAGCTGAGTTCTGATACCAGAGTGGTTGTTTAGGTTCAGCGCCAATCTGTTTGCTCGTTTCTTGCAGGCTGAAGAGCGAAGCCATCTTTGTTGTGTGGTTTTGAGGAGAGGAAAGGGACGTAAACATCGAGAACGAGGTCTCGCCATGATGCGTACGTGCGCGACTCAAATCTTCGGCTGCGTGCCTAATGTATGAAACGGATTTTCGGTGTGATGGCATTCGCTGTTTTTGCTTCGTATACTCCAACAATAATGAGGCCTTGGAGTGTCTATCATGAAAATCTCTGGCATAAGTATGTGAATACATGCCATGATGTACCACACGATGAAAACCTTCACCTCCATGCTGGATTGTCACGCCCTATTCCATCAGCTAAAAAATTGTTTTATGGATCTAATAATTTCCAGATATTTCTAAGTTTACTCTTTAATCTTCATCGGATGAATCTGAGCCTAATAAAGAGTCCCAATAATACCATAAAATTGAACATGGATCTACAAGTGAAATTACCTGGTACAGGGCTACATGCAGATAACTAGTGTCGCATTTTCCATCACCGTGAATGTCATCTCGCATCTGCCTTCTCCGATCGAAGACAGTAGTCACCACAAACATCGCAGGCAAAATAAAACCAGGACATTAATTTCACAATGATTTTGTCGCCTGCTGAAAGATCATATCTCCACGATTCGCTTACTGCTAGTCCAGTGATTCGGCCTGATGGCCGCAAGCATTTTCAATTTCGACCTGTGGAAGCAAAGATCGACTTCTTGCCTGGTTCCAACGGCTCATCTAGGATACGAATGACTGATGGAAGTGAATGCATCGTTAGCGTAAAAGCAAAAGTAGTGTTGATTGCCAAGGAAGACAATTTGGTCGAGTGCGACGTCGACTTGGCCGGTTTCAGAGACGACTCCAATTTCGTGTCAAACTTGAAGTTTAATTTAACTGACTTATTCACGAAGAATTTCCCCACCCAGAAATTACATCTTACGTCCAAATATGCATACAAGCTCTTCATCGACTGTGTCGTTGTTAGTCACCTGTCTTACCCATTGACGCTCATCACATTCTCTGCATACTTGGCTCTCAAGGCCACTAGATTACCTTTACTAACCAGTGAGATCGATGACTCCGAAATTGAAGAGCAGCCGACTTTTTCGGATGACTGGGAAAGGGCTCAGTCTTTAGCTGAGATATTTGGTATGCCCGACTTTCAGCCTCCCCTTGTCGTCACAGTGGGTGTCATTGGCAATAATCTCATTGTGGACCCATCAGAAACCGAAGAGCAGGTGCTTGAAAATGGGTTGCTTCTTGGGTGGTATAATGGTAAAGTTATATCTCCCATTTCAAATTTGAATCTAGCCACGAGCTCTAATAACGTGAACTTTAGAGGTATCAACCTGTCTTTACTTGTAAGAACAATCTCGCTTTTAGGCTCGCATTGCTCTTCGCTCATTGACGCATTTGATAAACTTGTGGAAGATGATCTGGCCGATAACGATGGGTCAATCTTTTAGTATTTTGTATAAAATAATACGCATGAAAGCTGTTACTCAAAATCCTCTAAGGTTTAGCAATTCTGAGTTGAGTAAGCGTGGACAATTACGGCTGTAGCCGTTTGAATATTCATTGATCTCACCACACCAACTTGCTTGATTTCAACACACATGTCAAGCTCAGCCAAAAGCTCTCCAGGAATTCCTTCCTTCTCTCTTCCCAAGAGAATCAATGACTTGGCGGGAAATTTTAAGTCGTTATCCAACACCACCGACTGATCTGTCTGCTCCAACCCAATCAACTTGTAACCTTCAGCTTTTTTCTCACGCAAATACTTCACGATACCATCTGGTTTCACTTCTGTCATAGGCATCCAGTGATCTGCCGTAACCGCAACGCTTTTAAATTGTTGATTTTGTTTCACCGCAAGGTCATGAAGCGTCAACAACCCTGCACCCAACACGTCACAAAGACGGCAAATACCACCCAAGTTCGGGGGCTTATCTACCAACGACGCAACAACAATCAAGTCACTGCGCTTGATGTCGGAGATTTGGGTTTTGGCATCCACGTCCATAACCGTGCTCCAAGCACCGCTCTTAGTTTGAAGTGAAGAGGCAATTCCTTTGCTTGCCTCTTGTAAACTCAGTTTAGCATTTTTGTTTTCTTTCAACTTCGTGACCCACAAATCACTCTTGTCGTTTCCGACAGGATGCGTGAGCGCATCGAGCTGGCTCTGCGACAAATAATTACAGAAATCCTTCTGGACGATAAAATCCACTTCACGGTCATACAATCTCAATAATAGGCCACCTGAGATATGGACAAGATTCAAGTCATCCACTATATTCCACAAGCAAGCGTCTCCGCTCCTGAACTGACCAAAAGCGTCCGTCGCTAAAGCACTTTTGTGCATGTTATCAATGACCACAGAAAGGTGAGAATCAACTTTAAGGTCTTTCTTGTGAATCTCTTCATAAATGGATATTGCCATTGACATGGAGAAATGACGGGTGATGGCCTTATTGGTTGAGGCAGCTGGAATGATAATTTCAATGAGCCTTGTCAAGTATTTCGTCTCAAGCTCACGATTCATTGATTGAATCATGAGAAACAAAACTCGCTCGTAGAGGGTTACCAAAATGGGTTTGAGTTCATGGGTAGTGAGAGCATGTGCCAATTTTTCGAATATAGCCTCCGAAAGTTCTGGTCTTCTCTGCAATTGCTGTGCCAAAGCCCATTCAAAGTATACTCGCACTAAGGGACTAGGATCATTCTCCACGAACCAGATGAAAAGACTGAAATATTGACGCAAAGGCTCTTCCAGATCTACCTTATCAACCACTGATATGACAACTTTGGCCAATTGCATTCTCACGTACTCTTCAGCTCCATCTGTTGGCTTCAAAACTTTGAAAAAATGATAAGGGTCATCTTTATTAAACACAACGTCGAGGATAGCTTCAGCACATTTTGATGTGCGTACGGTATTGAGGATTGCAAGAAGCCACACTTTGTATGCAACCTCATAGACTCCATAAACAGAGGCATAAATATGGCTATCCAGTGAAAGGGCAATTTCTTTATCGAAGAGAGACCCGATGACTTGCTCGATTTTGAAAGCACTCACTTCAAGCTCTCGGTGAGCCATCGCTTTGACAATAAGTTCTGGAACAAACTGAAGCCTCTCAAAGTCATCTGAATGAAAAATCTGAAAATTGGATAAGGCCTTTGTAATGGCGGGCATTAATCCGCGTCTACCATAGGAATTAGAGATTATGACATCAGCGAAATCTGAAACACAATCGTTTAAAATTTGGTTGTTCACGGCACTTTTCAAGACATTTTCATGGAAGAAAACTTGAATTAGCAAGATGTGCAATTCCTTTTCTGACAATTTAAATCTATCAGCATCCAACTCTTTTACGGAGGATAGTAGGCCGAGTAATGAAGCTGACTTGGTGTCTTCATCAGCATAACCTTGCGTGAAGGAGACTTTCAAGATCTTGGCTATGGCGAGTATTGTTGTGAAATGCGACGTCTCAAAAGTGACAACTGAAAGAATTTCAGCAAGCTCGTCAGGCTTTAATCCGATTCGTTCCACGTACAATGACAACAAACGATGAAACTCCCCGTATATATTTCCCTTGAGCTTGTAAAAACCACTGACTTTTTGTAAGCACACATTTGTGTTCATGAATAATTTTTTGTGCAAACTGAGAATGGACAGCGAAGACACAACATTGGCATCGAAATCCAAAAGCTCAATGGTTTTGTTGAAAAATTTGAGCTTTGCATAGGCAAGACATAAAGTTCCGTAGTCACTAGATATAGCGCTTTGTTGTATCTGATTCCACAAAGCCCATGGTCTCTCTGTAATCTCTAGACTTAAATCTTTTGAAACTGAGCTGAGTGACTCATAAATAGATTGTGATTCGTTTCCTTGGAGGCAGGTTCTAAAGATTTCGATTGTTCTAGATTTCAAAACAGAGAACATGCAACAATCTCCAGTCTCTAAAAGCATACCAAGTACAGAAGATGTGCACTTGCTGATTTGGACATTCCAGATTTCTTCATTCATGTGCTCAGAAATTGCAGCAAGACTAAGGAAAATCACGGCCTGTTCATCTGGTATATCACCCTCCACGTAGTTCATTAATTCAGCGAAATGAACACCGCACTCGGAAAGATATTTTGAGAATAGCAGAATATTCTCCATGAAGAGCTCATACCGATTCAATCTTACAAACTTCGACAAAACGGTACCCAATTGAAATAGATCTTTGAATTCAAAATTGAGAAGGAGGCGAAGGTTCAAAGTTTGTATTGCCCTTTTGAAGAGTTCGCCCTCTGAAAAATTGTCAAATAGCTTGAGCAAGAGAATATCGTGCTTTCCGTACTGCAATACTTTCTTTTCTTGCAATCCTTTAACCAATCCATGACAAGTGTAAATTTTAACAGCATCAAATGTGTCTCTTGAATTTGCCAACACAGTCATAATTGTGGACAGCACGCTACTCAATTCCTCAGGAGTAGAAAGACTTTTCATCACAGCACAGAGAAAACTAGAGAATTTATCGGCATACTCACAATGTATGTCTGTAGTCGATGGGCCTTTTGATCTGACATTAAAATGACGCGATAACATCAAATACGGAAGAAAGTGATCCTCTAAAAACGACAAGCCATACTTGAGCAAATGTAAATTTTCAGGCTTGATGGAAAAAAGTATCTCTGCCGAATACTTTCGGACAGAATCCATTGAAGCTCTAAATCCAGTTGACAATAGGCAAAATCCCCAGGATGCATGAATGGCAGAATCAGCAGATATTATACCGACTATGTCGTTTACTGCAGCCTGGGTTTGGTGTAAGGAAGTATCAATTCCCAAAACCTCAAATAGAGTGGTATACCGGCTCCATTCGCGAAGCTGTTCCTTTTCTTCGTTAGCATCCCAGGACATCAAAGATGTTGAGAACGATGTATTTATCTCTTTTAACGAAAGTTGAAGAATTGACAAGCAAAGTTTACGGATCTCATGCGAGTTTCCCACTAAATTCAATTGCAATATTTTCCAGTAGAATTCCTGACTAATCAAGTTTTCCTGGAAATACTCGTTGTTTCTAAAGCGACCTAGGGAACTTCCAAGCATTCGAAGCCAAAAAAATGAAAGCATTAGAAGTATGTCTTTTTGGGACAGCAGAAGATGTCAAGTCAAAAACTAAAGTGAAATAGAACTCAGTAGTAGACTTGCTCTCGGCACACTGTCTAACAATCGAGTCTACTCTCCAGCGTAAAAGATGTGAGCTGGCAGTCGCAATGGTCTCGTCTCTGTGACCTAGACAAAGACATATTATCTGGTCTCCAGAAACTAAATCTGAAAAGTGAGCAAAGGTGTTGCTTGTGTAAATTTTGGAAAGAAACCCAAATAAACCGACGAGGTTATTCTTCCGCTCTATCTCTTCTGAGGCATACAGCCCATTCTCTGCAAGTGAGTGTCCGTTTTGAAATCTTTCAATATTTACCTGGAAGTTAGGTACAAAATTATTAGAATTTCCCATGTTGCTTCTGAGCATCGAAAGTATGGCATCCCAGGCATCTTCGAATAAAGTTGGAGACAGTTTCAAAAGCTCATAAGCATATTCGAATAGCACCTTGTCATTACTATTGATAGCTGATAATACGAACGCAAGAATTTTTGGGTAAATTGTGTTTAAGACATTTGAGCTCAAGTGTGAGATAAGCTCAGCCAAAACTGGCAGATCTTGGGGACATTCTAGCAAATTTTCAGCGAGAGAAGATGCCAAAGAAATTTTCTGCTCCTCTGAGAAATATTTTCCAATCAAGGCTCGGGAAGAAATCATTGACTCAAAATTAGGCCCTCGAGGAACGCACTGTCAAAGAACAATAGATTGCCGAATATTACTGAAGAGATGAGTCTTATACATCCGTACATCCCAGGATTGACTTGACATGTTGATGATAATTTGTTAGGAAATCTGATAAGTATTTGAACCATAGTACATCATCATTGAGTGTAGCTCGAAATGTGTAGCTTCAGTTTATTTCTACGATATTTTGAAGTCGAGTGGGTTCAGTTGCTGTTTTCGGCATCGAAACAATCGGATTTGAGGTTTTTTATGCTTGACGTTTCTAAAACGGTACTTCAACTTTATACATGGACTAGTCGAGTGCCATATCTGTGATAGTGAAAAGTGTTTTTTTTAGTCTTGACACATAAATAAATAAACAATGCGTTTTTGCCAGGGTATCGATCAATAGACCCAGCTGGTTAAAAGAAATCCTGCCGTCATGGTTTCTCCACAAAAGATAAGGCTTCAAAGTGGGAGATATGCCAGGTATTTCGCATGTTGTATTGTGGTCGAAATTTTGACTGTCACAGACATATTTAGTAAAGCAGTCAATCACCTTACAAAAGCCGATACGCGGAATCGTAATTCCGAAGCTTATCGCTGCGGCAAAGGTAACGTATTTAATCGCGGGAACATGTTCCCGAAGCTTATCGCGGGGAAAATGACTCAAATTCCGTAGCGGGTTTCTACATAAAGACAATACTCCCCGAGCAACATTCGTTGTTCTGGTCACTGACAGATTTCGTTTGCATTTGCCTCGACACCTCCGCCACATGTTACAATTTTCATTTCTGGTTGAAAATGTGTTGTTAGCAACCGCCATTCTTATCCTGACCATAGTATTTGCAAAAGGATTGCGGTATAGCTTGAAGCCAAAAACAAACCTTGAAAATTCTAAAGCAAATTTATTTACGGTCGCCCCAGTATCTCTGGACTTCAAATGGGATGAAGAAGCACCACTTAAGTCATATCCTTTCAAGGACAAAGAGTACAAATTGACGATGGGTATTCGCAACATTGACATCTCAGAATGGCTTTTGATCGAGAACACGTACCTTAAGCGCATAGAGGAAAAAACCAAAATCACAACGAACAGTCACCCTGCATACCCTGCGAGTAGAGATTTGAAGAAAAGCACTGTTTTTAGTTCGCCAGAAGCTGAGGCAGCTGTGAGAGAATTCTACGACATTGCCATAACTTACATGTGCGAGAAGTATCCAATGTATTTCGAACATGTTGATGACCAGATCAAAAATCGCATTACTAATGAACTGATTCCAGCAAAATCTTCTTGCGTCAAAGATCACAAAGATTTGCTCCCCTACTTGATTCGCACTATTGAGGAGGATTTTATTATCCTCTTGAAGGACTCCTCAAAGAAGGACCAGCCCTACGGTGAAGAATACTACTTCAAAGCTGGTGTATTTGCCTTCGCCGCGGGATTTGATCCGGCGGATAAATTCAACCAGCCCCTCACTATGATCCATAAGCCAATTCCTGGATATGAGTCAAAGCTTAAATTATCAATGAACCGATTTTTTGATAAAATTAAAACAGGCGCATTAGTATCCCGCTCCAATTTCTCCATTCAAACACACGCTAAATTTTTTGTTGATGACGAAAATAAGGGGTATCACTTGACGGAAGAAGAATTAAACACACCCATCCCATTTGAAAACCTCAACTTTGAGAAACAGGTTCATTACCGAAGCGAGAGACAAGTTCTCACGAAGCTTCCCGAATCTGAAGCTATTGTCTTCACTATTAGAACCTATTTGCATCCGATGAGTGATTTTGCTGAAAACATGGAGGCTGCAAATCGACTCCGTGGTACGCTTGATAAGTTTCCAGATGATATGGCTCGCTACAAAAATATCACACAGCCCAGACCTGCCGTGATGAGATATATTGACGAGTTACTGGTGTAGCTTTGCTATCTCATCCTTTGCTTCCTCCCACACCTCGATATTTCTTTTTGCCCACGTGATGAAAATTCGGTTATAGTTTAAAAGAATTTGAAACATCAACTTGAGTTCATTTTTTCTAAAGTTTTCTGCGTTTTGGTTCAACTCGTCCGCAATGTATGAAATGTCTTGCATCATGACTTGTTGACATTTTTCAAGAATGCCTATCCGCTCTTGCAATTGAGTGATTCTCTGCTTTCTTGTTAACTCCGGGTTTTGATCCATGATATCCGAGACATATTTGGTAATCTTTTTCATAGATCCTATGCTAGGTAAAAATCTTGTTTTAGAGCTTGATTTTTCTGGAATAAAGAGATTTTGGCTTGTTCCGAGACTGTAGGCTGGACTTTTGTTTAAAGACTGGGTCTGGATACCCCTCTCAATCCTACCGACTTCCATTTCGGCTCTGAGACTGTCAGCCAACTCTTTTTTCTTTTCTCTTATTTCCCAATCAATCAAATTTCTTTGCTTGATCTTCCTTGCTTCGAATCTTTTTGTTGATTCAAATACGGAAGTATACTTCACAGATTCACCCAAGGGTTCTGAGAACTTGGTTTCCAACTCTGATATGAGATGGTTTATCGTGCTGAGAGAATTGTCGAAGGCTAAGCCGATGCGGTCAAAAATGATGTCTACCTTGAATTCATTCTCTTGTGATTCTTTCGCGTATCCAACATTTGCAGTATCGGCGAAGATCGTTGAAAACGAATTGAGATAAGCGCCAAGCTCAACATAATCGTTCGTGAGTCCAACATAATTACTGAGAATCCGCTTATTAATCTCATCCAAATGTGACTTGTTTACCACAGAATTTTGATTAGTGCTCTTATTTCCCACATCAGTGGTCTTCTCGCTAGTTTGTGTGACAATTGGTGAATCAGAAGTCTCAGCCAGCGTAGACGATGCTTGTGTTGATAGTTGAGATTCCGTCGCATTCGTTGATGATCCCGAATGATTCTTCTTCAGAGCGAAAAGTTTGTTCGTTAGTGAGTTCAGAAAAGGTAGACTGATTGTATGATTGGACAAAGGAAGTGGTAAACTCGCATAAATGGGGTCTGTACGTAAACCGTTTTCGGGATTCAGCTGATAAACAGATTTCGGGAGCTGGCTGCCAATAAATTTTATCTCGTCAGACCAATTCGAGGAGGGGTCCAAGAATTTGGCAAAGAAATCAAGCTTTCTAATTTGTGGAATCAGAAGACAATTGTTAAGAAAATTAGCGAGAAGGCGTTTTCTGTGCTCAATAAGCCTGCTTTTGTTCAAGTAATTCGAATTGATGTACGAGTAAGAAGGCCCCGTCATTGGTGGCGAGTCTGCCCCTGAGACATTTGCAAGCCCGTTTGATGCAGTGATATTGTGTCCGCTTGGAGTAGAGCCCACAAACCCATTTAGCATGTGCAAGGAAAAGTAGTTCTTCGGTGGTATGGGGGGAATCACCACAAGGGGAAAAACACGTATGAGAATGTCGCGTAGACTCTCAAAGTCGGAATATCTTCTTCTGGTTTGGATCTCATCGCCTTGCAAATCAGTAAGCAATATTGTGTACACAATATACTTCTTTGAGGTGTTTGCCAAACCCTCATTCGACTTTCCAGCCTCATTTATGAGAATTCGAACACTTCTTCCGGGGGATAAAAGTCTTGAGACTCTGCTTTCATGGTCAATTTGGACCGTGTTTATATCTTCATCTTGATAGAGCAAAAGCGAGCCACCTTCGTCGTCAGTTAAGTCATCCTCAAGAGGCGAGTTCGTGTCGGAGTCACATTTTGTTTTGGATACGCCTGAAAGCATTTTCTTTCGCCCCAGGGTAGATTTCAGAATCTTGTTACTCTCTTTATCACCCTGCATGAGACTTGCAAGTCCCCCGCTGGGAAACGGGTTGTTGTCCTCGTCATCATTGAAGGCACGGTTCTGCTGAGGATCCAGATTAGACATGGGTGGCGAGATTATCCAAAAGATGCAGAATGCACGAACAGGAAGTTGCCTCGGATAAACTCGGTGTTTTTTGCTGTCAACTAATCAGATAATTTTGCGTAGCGTTTTAAACCACAAATGGATCAATTCAAATGGTGTCGGCCGCTAGTAAAGACACGTAAAGGGTTTCGAGAGGATACGCAGCTAGGATCAATGTAGAGACGTACTAAAGATGTGAGCGGGATTCCACGAATTCGATGTAATTTGAGTCTTATTTTATTAGTGGTTTGAGGCGGTGGGGAAATTAGCGGATCGATAAGGGAAATTGGTGGGGTAGATACGGTACCTGTCAGCATGGGATTTGAAGTCGTGCGCACTAGATACAATTTAGTGTAGGAATATATGAGTGCTGTGTTAGATGCGTCCCTGAAACGCCTCAATTCGGATTAAAGCCTGAAATTATCGCGATACTGTGGTTGGTTTGCACAATTCTTTGCCGTTCTAGCTGTATAGCTGATACTTCAGCCTTTCAAACCACATTGGCCATTTGGCCCTTATTCTGCCTTCATATTCACGTCCTGCATGGGACGGCCTCCCATGAGACCAACTCCTCGAGAACCTGCATTGCCTGTTGTATGAACCATTGCGGGGCACGCGAGCGTGTTGTTGCCCTCACTCACTGAGTCGTGATGAAACCTTCACAAGGCTAAGGATCACAAATATATCTGAAACTCCAAAACAAAAAGGGGAATTTTCAAGTATTAGTTCAGAAAAAGCAAGAGTTTAGAATCAGTCTACTTCCTATTTATTTGGAACATGTCACACACCACTTCGTCCAAAGTGGACCCGAATGCACTAGCCTTAATTTGCCATTTGACGCGCAGCAGGAGTGTTTGTCCTTGACTGTATTCTTACCATACAAAGCTTAGAGCAGGATTAAATTTTGTCCTTGCAAAACCCCTTCCTGTATTATTCAAAAATCTATCTGTGTTAAATAATCTAAACAGGATAAGTTGGGTTGCGGCCTGTTCTCGGCATTGCACTAAATGGAAGGACGACTCGCAAGCATTGAGGCCGCGCACGACTTCGAAAAGTCTTCGATGTTTACCTCAAGTCAGCTTCATCCAACCCAAGACGGCTAAAACTGACACCGGATTTCTTTCGCTGCTCCTAAAAAGATTAGTTAGAACACTGTGTCATGGAAGAGTCTACGGCATTTCCATCCATATCGGAAGTCTCCCCAGAAGTGCAATTTGCACAGGTATTGGAGAACTTTCAAATGAGTGCTGGGGACGTTAGTCCATTTGATATCACGCAAAACTTCATTTCGATCTCCGCGGCTAGAGCACTTGAAGTTGGAAAGAAGATCAGCGAACTCGGTGACAATGTGTGTGCTGAAGATGAGCAGGAGTTCGCCAGTTGGGACTTGGAGACCAAGTTATGGCATTTGGTTACCAATCTATACTCGTTCAGACTCAGTGAGGATACCGATCACGTGCAAACATACGAGTTTTCGTCCTTTTCGACAAAACAAAGAGCATTTTTGCAAACACAGCCCAAATTAAAAGAATTGATAATTATCATTCACTGGCTTCAGCAAAACGCTCAGGAAGTTTCCGTTCTGTTTGATGGTACCAATGCATCTAAGTGGGCCAACACCCGGGTAGCACTTCAGAGTAAAGATTTAGCTGCATTGACGTCTCTGAAGAATAGCAGAGACTTAGTTGACTTTTTGGACGCAGACGCTACATTGAGGACCAACAAAAAGATTTCTGATGCAGACTTGAGCAACGACTCGAAAAACTTCGAGATTATCTATAGACTTGTATTGGCTGGAGATTATCAGCGTGCTGTTGACTACGCTAGCCAAACAGGAAATTTCACTTTGGCGCTCATTTTGGTAGGTGCTCAGCAGGATTTTGTCGATCCGGTCCTTGACGGCCAAGACCTCATGGTCGATGATACAAACCGCGATGATGTTTTAGCCCAGTCCCCTGCAGAACCCTCAGGCTTGAGACATAAGTACCTTTGGCTCCAGACTGTCTACAACTTATCCCGAGAAGAACGTTTATCCAGGGAAGAGCGGCTAATATACTCGTACTTATCTGGAGGTGACCAGACAGAGAACATACAGTATGCAGCTGAAGATTGGGACAACTGCTTGCTTCTTTATATCAACCAACTTCTCACACATCACATATGTTTATTCATGGGTTCAACTCTTCCGGCAGATGACGAATCCGAGAGTCTTTCATCTGTGTCATTTCCTACCCCTCAACACACATCTCTTGAAACAATATTGAACACCATGCTGAATTCAGCTGCTCTTGCTGAGGAGAGCAAAAATCCGTTCCGTGTCATCATGGGTGCAGTCCTCATCAATCAATTAAACTTCTTTCTTGACAATACATTTAAGTCTTCCCAGCTTAGCATTGTCAGCGACCAGCATATTCTACGAGTCTTGGCTCATTTAGCCGTGTTCTCTTCACTTTGCGGTCTACATGAAGGGTCTAAAACTCCAACTAAAATCATCACAAGGTATATCTCCAAATTGTCTGAGTATGGCTATGAAGACCTTGTACCCATTTACTTGGCGTTCATTCCTGATGAAAAAGATGTTCGTGAATGCTACTCCATTTTCTTGTCTACAATCACTGATTCTGGCAAACGCGCCAAACAGCTCGAAATATTCAAAAGGTTGGGGCTCAGTACTCCTGCCGAAATTGGTACTCGCTTGGATACTGACACTGGAGATGACACAGATCACTATGAATACAAGATTCACAATGTTCTTAAAAGAACGGTTGAAAGAGTTATGTGTGAAACTGAAGAGCACTACCGCCCTCAAATTGAAATCCAAATTGAAGATTCCGTTGTCGACAATGTGGACTTCAAGTTGTGCAGGTCAGTAGAATGGTTTTTCGAGAACAACATGTATGAAGACGCCATCAATGCCTCGCGCACTGTGTTCCAAAGATTCGTCTCTACAGGCCGTTTAAAGGCTATTAGGGAGTTTGGAAAAGGAAAGAATCTCAAGACCCTTCTCAAAAATTACGACTTTGACATGCAGACAAAATCTCTTGGGCTGGCTGAAGTTCCGACTTCGGTATCAGACACCGACAAAGATGAGTTGATGCAGTATGAGAAATTACTTGAGTGTCTTTTACTTTTAGATGAATGGAAGACATTTGTCAGCAACAAATCTGACATTCATTGGATTTCGAAAGATGTGGAAAATTCGATAGAGAAAGTCGTGAGCAAGATCCAGAATTTCATTTTCACATGGTTTCGCGAGATAATTGATTCTTCACAGAAAGATTCCCAACTTTACCAAGAATATCGTTCCATCTATGTTCCATACTTCATTATTGAGCTATTGCAGATTTTTCAAGCCGCTAGACCACACAACTCAAAATATGTTCACCAGGCATTTCATTTGGTCAGCGAAGTCGCCAATGACAAAGAAAATGACTTTCTCAGATGCTTTTTGTCTTGTGGCAGAACCAGCGAGTTTGTTGTCTTGGCTGGGGAGGTGGCTGCCGTGGCGGCTAGTACCGGCAGTAGAGATATATTTGTGTAAAGAGGGTATATCTATCAACTAAAAGTATATTTTGAAGTGTGAAATATGTTTCTTTTTGTCTTGCTCTAATTCAATGTTGAGGCCTTTTCATACAAAGAGTCAACGACGGATGACATATTCTTGACCAACTCCAAAGACGCTTCATATGCGGCGTCAGTTCTTGGCTGGTCGTAAATAATAAGCCAGCCATTACCTTGGTCCAAAACACCGTAGAACACCTTATCTAGAATCATTTGCGACAACTTGCCTTCAACCTGCTGCAAGTTCAACCCAATGGTTTTCGAAATGTGCGATATCTCGACGACGCTGTAAGACTCGATGATTTTCAACAAATTTTGCTCCAACAAGTTGTCATACAAAGAGTTGAAATGATTCTTGATAATTTGGTCCGATCTCAATTCGATGGAGTACGTGGTCAAGGATGTCTCGAAGTCCTTCAAAGATCTGTTGGAATACGCAGTGGCAATCGACTTCATGGCGTCAATATCCCTTGACTGGTACTTGATCACATTTTTGTTGTTCAAAATAGTGTTGACGTCATCGATTAAGTTCAACATAACCTTCGTCAATAACATATACTTCAAAACGAGGATCGCGCGATCGTCGCTTTGCGAGTTGAATCCTTCAAAAGACTCGTAAAAGTACGAGAAAGCAGTTTTGTAATCCTTTTCCTCAGCGTTCAAAATCCCACTTTGGCAGTCAAGCTCAGCCTGCAATAGCGTCGGACAATAGATCGAATTCGCCGACGTTCTGGCGCTAGTCAATGCGGCTCTAGACTTTGGGATATTGCGCAATGCGTGGTAAATCTGAGATTCCACCAACTGCACTTCCACCAAGGATGACTTGTCGTCCAATTTCTTGTATTCGCTTAACAATCCAGTGATGATTGTCAAGCCTTCCTGGTGAAGGCCCTTGTTGTACAACTTCGCCGATAACTTCAACTGCAACTGTTGTCTCAAGAATGACAATTTGTTTTCAACTGCCCAATCAATACACTCTTTGATGGCCAGGATTTGCGAGTCCAACGAGTCTGGAATCTTATCAAAATTCTCGATCAAAGTCTTGACAATCTTTGCCGTCTTGGACTTGGCAAAGGTGCTCAAAACGACACGCGAGTTCCGGATCAACTCGTCTAGCTTTGACGCAGATTTGTTGTTCTTGTAAATCTTGCCCAATTCAATAATCGCCGTCTCCTGGTCCTGTAAGAATCGAGTCCTTTTGTTCTGGTCGTCACCTTCGAACTTCGCATAAATTGCCTCGTAATATTTACGCTCAGCATCGTCATATCTTTTTTGTACAGCTGCAACACTGGCATCTTCCAACACAGGGGTGATTGACGACATTCTAAAGGGAAATTATGGGTTTTCTCAAGAATTTGCGTTACGTGTTTGCCTTCGAAAGTGGCACTGGGCAAGAATGTGAGCCCTCAACCGTCGCGGGCGGGACACGACTAGTTGGGGGCTTTCACAGTTATTTCAACTTTGACCTAATGTCCCCAAATTTGGGCTAAATTCTCGATGGAAAGGAAAGTACGTTTTAGCACCCCAACAGCTGATCTTACCATTTCCAAAATTCGGCAGCCCTGCAAGCCTGAAGTAATACCGAAGTTATGTCTGTCGTTGCTCTTCTATGTTCGCGTCAGATAAACATTCGGCTCGTACCACGGATGATTTGGCTGGTTTATCTAAGCTGAAAGCTCATATTGGGGAGGCCCTAAACTACATTGAAAAGTAAAAAAAATAAAACAGCTAGGCTTTCAATTTTTATGGGTATGCTGAAAAAAGAGACATTGTGAAGCACCACCCCAGAATCACTTCGGTTTTTACGAAGAATTGATTCTCACTTCGGTAAAAAAGCTCTCCGTGTATAAAGAAAAAAGTTCGAGAATTTGAGTTTTGTTCTACGATATCATGGGGGACAAACTTAGTTACAAATTTTGTATACCTTCTTTTCACAAAGCAATTTAGTACTATGCCAAAACAAATCTAAACTATAATTATTCATACTCTCTTTTCTTTAAGGCTCGAAACTCAGGGGAAGGTGGGTGCGAAAGTCGAATGAAAAAAAGTTGTGCACTCAGATGATTTCGTAAACCCTTCACATTTAGGGTTGGTTCTCCGTAATGTTGTCCCGTAAAATTCTCCAAAACCTGCGCCAATGCACCTTTGAATTGACCAGGGGGGCTAGGGGTACGGCAAAGATCAACTCCATCCTCTTAAGGACCCCTATATTGAGTCCATTCAAGAGACACTATGCGCAAACTCCGTTTCCCTTTGACCATAAGAAGGCTCAGGAGAAACGAGAATTAGAAAAGCTTCCCAAGTACAAGCAATGGGCCAAGTACTTTGAGAGTATGGAATTCAAGCGTAAGATGACAAAGTACTACTTGGCGACATTTGGTGTGATGCTTGTGGCGTTCTATTTCTACATGCGTGACCGGTACCATGAAGACAAACAGATGAAGCACATCAAGCAAAAGTATGCGCAAGACCCTGCAAGTCTTAGTGAATATGAATACCTCAAATTTAAGGCGTTCAGTACTGATAAGTTGAAGCCACGTGAACAAAAAAAATTCCGCCTTTATCAAATGATGCGCAAGGAATTTAGGAGAAAGAACCTTTTTGACGCTTCTGTCATGTTTGAGCCTACTCCTCAAGAGCTTGATGAGTGGTACAGTAGGCAAGCAAAGCCCACTAAGAAGGTGGCACTGGCCGATGATGATAAAGACGTTCTGTTTTCGAATCAACTTGAACTTGAGCCCGAGGAGCCCAAAGTATCGAATGAGACGAACCCAAACATCCAGCCGGCGAAAGATACAACAGAATTTTTTGATGAACTTGCATCCGCTTATGATGACCAAGTGAAGTGGGAAGAAAGAGGAATTATGATGGGTAGCAGAAGAAGATGGCTCATGAGCCAAGCTCAGGGTGACGTGCTAGAAGTGGCATGTGGTACAGGCAGAAATATCCCGTATCTTAAAACTGAGCAAGTGGACTCAATCACTTTTATGGATTCTTCGAGCAAAATGGTGGAGGAGACGCAGAAAAAGTTCCGTAGCAAGTTCCCCAAGTACAAGAACGCGGCTTTCGCCGTAGGAAAAGCCGAGGATTTAGTGGACCTTGCCCTGGACTCATTTAAATATGATACTGTGATTGAAGCTTTTGGGCTTTGTGCGCATGAAGACCCAGTAAAAGCTTTGAAAAACATGGCCACTTTGTTGAAACCAGGAGGACGAATTGTACTTTTGGAGCACGGCAGATCCACGTGGGACTTTGTCAATAACCATTTGGACTTCCGTGCTGAAAAGAGAATGCACACTTGGGCATGCAGATGGAATTTGGACATTGGTGAAATGATCGATGATGCTGGACTTGACATCACCTATGAGAAAAGAGTGCATTTGGGCTCTACGTGGCTTTTGGTGTGTAAGAGACCCGAGGATCCATTTCACATAGAGGAAAAGCCATTTATCAACAAACTTTTTGGAACTGAGTTTACTCCTGTTGAGAAGAAATAAATTTGTACATAGTGTGGGAATAGCGAGCTTCCTCGATGTTTTTCACGGAACAATATAGCACCTGGATAGCGTCAAAAACCAAATAAGCTTTACTTTGGCTGAACCGATGTTTTCAGCCTTAAAATTCCCAGCTTTTTATTTCACGACAGTAAAAACAGGCGGTGTTTAATGCGCTTTGACAAACCTTTCATCCCATCAGTGGATATATAGCTTATAGATAGACACCTTCGGAGGTATCTTCATCATTGTGCAACAAGTTGCGAGACATGAGCTCCTGCTTTAAAGCATCATGCTTCTCATTCTGTCTCGCAATCACTTGTTCATTTTCTGATACAGTCTCCTCATACAATTTGCGATCACTTTCATCTATAGTGCGAGCAAGTTCATTGGTAAGAAAATCATTTGTTTCTTGGAGTTTCACCAAAGAAGCCTCGAGCGACTTGTTCACATTTAGTATAGTGTCATCGGTGAGCTCCTTGATAGCAGTCTTAAAATCCGAGAGGGATGATGGTTGACTGGCTGAAGACATCTGGTACATCCGCAGTGGCTAACAGAAGGCTGAACGCGTTTTCAAACGTGCGACGCTGAAAAATGCTCTTGATACAGAAGCACTTATCGACGTGCGGGAGATTAGCCAGCAAGCTAACATCTTGGCTATCTGAGAAACCTTCTTCCATTTTTTGTTCTCAAACCTAGTGGTGAGGCTCAACCTAAACTTCGGGGAAGTTGGATTATAGCTCATCTACAAGTTCATTTGTGAGACGCACTGATAGCGCCTAAAGCTTTCGAAATGATAGGACGTCACATCAACAAAGCCGTGTCAAGGATTCGTGTCTGGCCAGTGATTGGTTTGACGTATAGATCAAATTCAACCATGGCGCTTGAGCCCTTCAAACCGATCCACCCTCTTCTTCTCCAACGGGCAGAGACTTTAACGAAAGAATTCGATGCGGTCGAAAAGGCCATGGCCATGGGCACATTTGATCACGAAACAAGCGTAAAATTCTCGCGGCTTTCTGTAATCATGGAAAACCTCGGGAGGTACAAAGAGATCACTCTGGACTATGCGCTGTTGCGTGAGATGATTGACGAAGCGTCAGACGAAGAACTCATAAAAGAGGCCGTGGCCGAAATCCTGGGACTCCTTTCGCAGATTTCAAAAACTACTCAGGCACTAGAGAAACAACTATTGCCACCAATCATACATAATGATAAGCCTGCGATTATGGAACTCCGGCCTGGAGTAGGTGGCTCAGAAGCAGCGCTTTTCACTGAGGATCTTCTCAACATGTACACGAACGTAGCCAGTCATAAACGTTGGCGGACCTCGGTGATCAGCGAGGCCCGAGGGACTAGTGGGATGCTAAATGAGGCGATCATCAGTTTCGATTCTCCTGAAGCATACGACTTTTTAAGACACGAGAGTGGGATTCATAGAGTCCAGCGCATTCCGGCCACAGAAACAAAAGGACGCATTCACACATCGACCGCAGCAGTAGTTGTATTACCCAAAATATCGGATGGTACAGAACAGTCTTTAAAAGAGGACGAGAGGCAGTTTGCTCCAGGCGAGGTCCGTATCGATACCATGAGAGCAGGTGGAAAAGGCGGACAGCATGTGAATACTACAGATTCTGCCGTGCGGCTTGTTCATATCCCCACTGGCATAATTGTCAGTCAGCAAGATGAGAGGTCGCAGCCGAGGAACAAGGCAAAAGCGTTCTCAATTTTGAGAGCAAGATTGGCACAATTGGACCGCGAGAGGGAAATAGCCGAGCAAAAGAAGCTCAGAACAGATCAGGTGAGTACGACTGACCGTTCAGATAAGATCCGGACGTATAACTATCCCCAAAACAGAGTGACAGACCACCGTTGCGGACATTCGGTCCATGATTTGCCAGGTTTTATGGAGGGCTACAAGATGGATGAAATGGTGAGTAAATTAGATTCTACCGAATTTGAGGAGCGTCTTCAGGCACTCATTGCCCAAAAGAGTTGAAGAAAATAGCATATGTATATAGAAACCTCAAATTTGACAGATCTTCAAATAGTTTTTACCAATGCAGTAGAGCTCGCCGGCATAATCTACAAACATACGCTCACCACCCCCTCCAACCCATTCCCATATTTTCGATAAATGAACACTTCGCTCAAAATCTTTAAAAAAAAATCAAAATATGTTCATTTTCCCGTACAAATTCAATTTTGGTTAAAATACTTGCTGTCTTGTGAGGTGGTCATGTGAGCACTTTCCAAACTGTTAGGCGTGGGATAATGTTTCGTGTAAAAACGTTTCCATACCCCTACATTTCTTTCTGCTACAAGAATTTTTATCTAGGAGCTGCAAAAGAGAATATGATATTCGGTATGCTTTTTCATCTGCTCGTGTTCTTTCAAAGTGTGGAAATCGGCACATGTGTTTTGGACTCACCAAAAATTTCAAAGTGACAAGACGTCGAACTTGGTGGGGTAGGTATGTTTGAGCCATTAATTTATCTCAACAATACTGCAAATTGGTACCCCTTAATCTTCATCTTCCTGTTTGTATGAACCCGGCCTCTACATCTCTCACGGTCTGCTCATCAACGCGCACCGCACTCTCATAACGCATGCAGACACAAGAGAATCTGGCCATATCTACACGCTAACGTGAAAAATAAACATAAATGGGAGCCGTTAGTAAACGAACCGCAGACGCACCCAACAGGCCGGCCAAAAGGCTGAAACTGGAAGTTCAACAGACTCTTTATATTCAAAATTTGAACGATAAAATCAACCGTGCCCTTCTCAAGCATAGTCTATTCATGATCTTCTCGACGTACGGCGAGGTTCTTGAGATCAATATGAAGATGAAAGGTCAGGCTCATATTGTACTTGATAGCTGTGAATCTGCCTCGCACGCGTTACGGTCGCTTCAAGCCACAAATATATTGGGAAAGGCTATCCACATTGACTACGCCAAAAAGAAATCAGTGTCAATCGAAGCAGCAGAGAAGGCGATCGCAGAGGAATAAGGTCATTTTCAAATATATACTAAGAATTACACAAGATGCTTGTATTCGAAGTATCCCTATGCCAAGTACAGAAATGCTAAGACGCAACCTCTTTCAAAGCCGCCAACCGCCGGGCTAAGCACGCAACGCGGCTTCTAGTTCATTCATGACGCAATCAGGGACCCCTAATTTACCCAAACTTGGTCCTCCAAGTGTCACTTTTCCGGCAGATTCTTTTTCCACGCACTCACGAATGAATCCTGACCTCTCCAAGAATCCAACATTGTACTGAGGAATGCAGTCTTTGTGAAGATTGTATGATATAAGCAAGTCATTATCGGCAAGCAGGACCTCGGAACTCTGCATGCGTGCCTCATCACGTTCAACAATGTTAAATTTTGTCAAATCAACACCCAAATTATTTTGCAAAACGTTCCGAGTTGCTTTCAAATTGACTTTATTTGAGGGAACTCCTCGGGCATTGAAATAATGGCCACCTATCATCAATGTGATTTTGTCATAGCTAGCCTTACCAAACTTTGTTCTGTCAACAAATCTTTCAGCGTCCAGTTCAGTATCTGAATCATATATGACACCCAAGAGTGACTCTGGGTTGTGGTTTCTTCGAGGCACTAAAAAGCCAAAGCCATTCCCGTTCTTCGGGATGAGGCCTTTTTTCTTAGTGTATATATTTGCAAGAAAGATAGTAGAGTACTCAAGGGTTTGAAGAGTCGGAAGAACATCTCTATTCTCAAAATTTGTCATGTATGAGAGGCTTTGCAACCCCAGTGTATGTCTCACATGGTCATACACGTGGGTTTTCCCAGCAACAGATAACGAGCAATTCTTTAAACCGAGAGCAGAAACTTCATTTGCAAAATTAAGCTTCACATTGGTTTGTGCTTTCAAGTATTGGGCCATGGCTAATGGCAAAGTTTGAAGCCCACTGTGTAATCTCATAATAGGATATTTCTTCAATTTTGATGCAACCTTTTCTAAATCAGCACCAGGTGAAACTTTCAGTTCATAAAGATGAAGAAATGGATTCACCTCTGGTACTTTTTTTTTGGATACCATTTTCCGCATTACAGCTTTGACAATGGATCCTTGCTCTTGCTCAAGTTTCACCAAGTTTGGGAGCGTGGCACGCACACTCAATTTGTCTACATCTCCACTATAGATCCCATGCATGACAGCACTCAAGACGTTGTCAGCCAATTGAGGGGAGCCGAATCTTCTTGTGATGAAAGATCTGATGGACTCGTCGTCGAAATTTTTGCTTGATTTGCGAAAAGGCTCCCGGAATATACTAGGCACTAATCCCTGGGAAACATCGTTTGATACAAACTTGGCAAACAGCAAAAATGAATTTGGAACTTGCACCAAGCTTCCGGCAGGGTCTAGAAGCCATTTTCTATTTCCCGGCGAGCTGGCACTCATCACTTCTACCTCTTTTTCGAGTCCTAGTTGTTTCATGATATCGACGATAAGAAGGGTACCATCACTCACTCCACGCAAAGTTCTTGGACCTTTTTCTAATATCAAATCAGAGCCATTATCGCTGAGTTTCAAAGATTTTATCCATCCACCAGGTTCTTTTGAGGCCTCATGTACAGAGATATGCAAGTCGGGTCGAAGCTTATGAAGAAAATACGTATAACAAAGGCCGGAAATTCCCGCTCCAACTACCGCAACCTTACCATTGCGGGGCACGAGGGACATATGTGAGAAATGGATATGGCTTTATTTAATGAATTGCCACTGCTGACTGAAATCTCTCCACATTTCCGCCACCTGGTGTACTGATGTCAATATAAGTTTTTTCGCAGCAGCTATATTCAATGTGCGTTAACGAGCACAGCTCGCATCTCATTTGGCTTGAATGATTATGACAATACTTTACGTCAATTAATAAAAATTTAAATCTAGCATGCATGAAACAAAGATTGTGGCTGCGATTCTTCGTTCAAAGTCTCCATCAGCATTTTGCTCCAATCACTCGTAGCTAAGCCTCTATTTTTGATGATTGTCTTTGCATTAGCTTCTGCATCATTCATACTCTCATTCCGTAGAAGCGGAAGACGTTGGTCAAATTGCATATCCCCTGTTGTTATGCTCTCTGAATCAAGATCAACAGGGTCAGCAAGACTCTCGGAGCTGTCATCCGCATTTGCGGCACCAATCGCTCCATCAACCAGCCCAGCAGAACCGGAATCAAGTTCACTTGTGCTTCTCAAAACACTTTGCAGACTCAGAGATGAGAGGTCCTCCGAAGATGTAGAGCTGCTCATCAGATCTGAATTAAGTGACCGTGTCAAGCCCTCAATGGGGCTTACTTCGCTACTGCTTGACGCTTGGCTTGCTGATGAATGAGGATGAGCGAACGAGCTTTCCAATGACGCTCGAATTGCGGAGGGCTTTCTTCTGAGTGCGCGGCTAGCGTCTACTAGGACATCATCAATTGTTGCCTCTTGCGAAGAATCAAATCCACCATGCGGAATGTGTTCGTAGGCCGGGGGATTCGCTGGTGTGCTGGGGTCTAAACTTGTGACAGAAGAAGATCTCATAGTAGTGGAAGAAGGCATAGTAGCCTCCTCGAACGAAGGCAATAAGTCACCTACTGCAGGGTCGAATGGCCTGATTCTTATGCCATTCCCCACGTAAGATGGTGTGCGGAAGTTGATCGCTCCAGGGCGTTCGGGTAGGGTTGCATCATTCCCAGTCTTAGTTTCAGCAGTCTTAGTTTCAGCGTACTCTGGCAATTGGAGAGCATCGTCACTGCACTTTGCACTCAAAAGAACAATTGGTGTATCAACAACGACCTCATAGTGGTGCATCTTGTTGTTATCCGCCGTGTCAGGCTTGGAGATACGGAACGATACTTGCAATCGATGCGAAACCTGAATATGGCGAAAATTGGAGTCGGGCGACAATGCTTTTGAAGATATGGTGTACCCTCTACTCATACCGTAATCTCTGCCATTGTATTTCTTGGGCAGCAATGAAGATGAATCAAGCTTAAGGATATCTTCATCCGCGTCGGAGAAAAACTGCCCACCATGCGAGTGACTGATGTGAGTCTCAAGACTTCCAATGATTGGCAGGGAAGGAGATTCTAGGCTCGCAACCAGACCCCGTTTCGAAACGGAGTGACCTCGAGAGTTAGGGGTTGATAAAGTGCTATCTGTTGCCCGGTCATGTTCACCAAAGCCTGAAGTCAAAAGTTCCTTGTCAGCTCTGGAGGTCAAGAAGGGCAAAGCGATATTGATATCTAATGGGGAAGCCACCATAACAGACCTATCTTTCGGGTTTGAGGAGTCTTCACGACAGAATTTCTGTTCATAACAAGAGTATAGCAAGTTATTTTCAGGACAGTTCAATACTTCTTCTTTGAAAGGCTCTAACCCATTATAGTTATTTTTAGATCTAGTTCGAAGCTCGCAAAGAGCTACGATTCGTTCTTTGGCTTTTGGATTTTTAGAGCGTGCGAAAGGGTCGTCGCCGTCATATTCATATTCTTTGGAAAGATCCTTGGACACATAAGTCACTCGTTCGAGTATGTTGAATTTTATTCTCTTCACAATCACATCTTTAGCCATGGGAATAAGTTTCACATTGATGGTATGTTCCGAGCCTAAGGATACATATTTCCTAGGGAACACGATCGAATAGTGAAGTGCGTCATTCCAGACCCTGTTTATATAAATAGGTTTGTCAGCGATTGAATATGCCGAGGAGGGAGGTGTTCGTACCAAAGGCAAATTATAATCCGCTTTCACAGCAGTTTTTTTACTCAATCTTTCTTGGGGGCCTGGTAATTTCACTGCAAGTTTGTGTGTAAGAGTTCCGTTGACGGTATTAACAGATGCTGGAATATTAGGGGGAAGTAAAATCGGTAGCAAGAAAACGTAAAGACCAGCTTTTTGTATATCGGCGGAGGGTTCCAGACCTTCCAGAGAGAAGAACTCTGAGCTGTGAGAGAACAGCTCATCAAAAGAGTGACTAGATTTCTCACGAGAGTCAACAAGTCTGAACTCCCGAGTCTTTTTCGCCAAGTGTTGTGGGTCGATATCTCTTAGACGCGTATCTTTGGTGTTGTTGACATTGATGTAGAAGTCAGCGTCCTGAAAATTGAGATCCCATTTCAATTTACCAATCTTGAACTTGTCCTCGAAGTGATGGCGACTGGAGCTATCCGTGACGGGCCACTGGGTTCTTGTTGTGGACAGGAACTCTACTTCCATAGTCTTAATCGAAGTATCTTTCTGAAGCTCAACGATCACAGCAAAAAGATGAGGAATCGGTGTCAGAGAGTCGATCTGTGTGCACAAGTAGTTAGCCGATTTCAGCGCCCGTATTTTCTTGCTTATTGTTTCGATGATCGCCGACGAAATGTCAGGTAAGCCAGTTTCCGAGTTATCTGAGATCGAGCAAACGCTCAGCCTTGGCGTGGACTCTGTTGTGAACGGTACGTTTTCCTCAAGCCCACCATTTATATCTGCTGCTGAGGTCGACTCGGGGATATCATTCCCACCATTCTCGACATCCTCGTACGTGAAACTAGTCGCCAGCGAAGGCGCCAAGTACACACAGTCGTGGGTATTCGCAACGTAGACTTTGACCAGTTTCAGTGGCGCGGCGCTAAGCACGCCTGCAGAAGTCTTCAAAGGGATCGGTAGCTGAAGTCCCAAGTCTTTCAAAAGTGTGAAAAGCTTTTTTTGAATCACATGTGATGTCTCTTGGCGGATGAGTTCCTTGGCCTGTTTTTTCGAAACGCTTCGCAGACGTGAGCGTGGCGCCATTTCACTGGGAATGGAGAGAGTGGACGATTCTCGCAGAGCCTCTGGCTCAGTGACAAGAATCACGATGGAGTTGCGGCGGTGATCAGCGACAAAGGAGCTGCGGTCAAAATCGGCTGGATCAGAAAATCGGCGCCCGACTTTTGTTTTGAGCTTGGTCAAAGAAAATGGCATTATGAGACCCGTGAATGGGAGGGCAAGGCTTAGTGGGTGAGAATTGCTGGGGAAAACGGGAGGCGATATTACTTAGTATTCTTGTGAAAGAGATCCAGAAACGAGGACAGAAATTTTTGGCGTCCCGAGAAGCCGCAGTAAAAATGAAGAAAATTCGTAGGTTCCTCCCGTGCGTATTCTTATAAGTTGTGGTAGGTTTTGCCAGCGTAGGCCGAGTCCGGTCAGTGGGGTAGTAGCTGCGGTATCGCCGGCCCAAGATCGGGGTGTGCGGCCGACAGGATTTAAGCGGAAGCGGGCGCAAGTTTCGGCCCACTTTTTTTTTTAGGTTGTCGCACAGATCGGCTCCTCTTAAGCAACGGGAGAACAGAAGATAATCAGCGGAGAAGAAAGAACGTTTTCAAGTCACTTCAGAGGACAAACATTGGACCAGCTTCTGAAGTTCTGGTACTTGAGGGTTATTTTATTCCGAGGCTCTTTTTGATATTGCTCTGTTTCTTTATATTTTGGACGGCTTTTCCCCAGCGACAGTGGATCGGCCGGCAAAAAGCCAGTGTCTATTGGTGCGGATTCATTTCGCTGACAGACCATGCAGCAGTTGCAATTTAGGCTCGCGCAAGAAAAAGCGTTCTAATTGGGCCCCATGGTTTGCCACAAGAACATGAACTTTTCCTGATTTTTAGCAAAAGATATCCCTGCTCAAGTAGTGCCAACAGACGGGATTCCGAGGATGGAAACTGCCCGACTTGTAATTAATGGAAGAAGGAAAAGGCGCCTGATATTCTAGTGGTCTGTGTCTAACACTTCATCTTTTCCAAACCCTGCGCCTCCCTACAAGACCTTATCGCAATGCCAAGATTTCGGCACGAACTTTGGATGAGATAGATGTCTCAAATAGGAGAGGCGCAATACAAGATTTGTCGTATTTGTCTACCATATACACACCACGTGACCAAACTATTTCTTTTCTCCAACAGATAGATAAAGTTTTCACCATTTTCCCTATTGTTTCTTTTTTGCCATGGGCGTAAACCTAATTCATTATTCATGAGAGTCACAGAATCAGAAATTTTCTCCTTTAAATCTGTGTTTAAATGACGCATGCTGCAAGGAACATGCGTTTGAACTGTCTTATCGAACCACTTCCATTGATCTTTGGAGGAAATTTAGAACCAATTTAGAACTGACTCAAACCATGTATTCTTTAAAGATTTAGAAACAAAAAAGTAAGCCTATTCTGTTTGACTGTCTCTCACATCGGTTGATCGAGACAGGAAATGAATATACTTTGTGATATTTCTTGTGCTATTCGGCTTTTCGAAGATATGGCCTAATCCCAGTAAAATCAATTAGGAACAGCTGTTGAAACGGTTTGGTGATAAATGCGCGAGCTGACGTGCGTTCTCCAATCAGATGGAACATTTATGAAGGCTGCCTCAATATCATTTTACGACCCGTATTATTGAATTCCGCATTAAAGTCATTCAACCAATCTAGGCTTTTGGAAGATTCTATTGTGAATGAGAATTTGTAGAATTGGATTCTCGTGTCGATCTTGTTTGCCTGCTTGCGGAAAGTATAGTTAGTCTCCGG